ATTGAGGGTAAACATTCCGAGCTCTTCATTTGTTGTTCTCAAATGAGCACTTAAAAATTTTCAACTAACAAAAAATTAAAAATTCGTAGACTTGCTGGAAAACACTGACACAATTGGAAATTAATACTCCCATTATATTTTTCGTTTCCTATTTCGACGACATATGTTCATTTTCTAGTTTTACTTTCATTATGAAAAATGTAATATGTAAAACGAAATCTAACTCGCAAAGCGAGAAGCATTGCAGATTTATCACGTATACAGTTAGAGCTTATTCTCATATTGTCTGTAAAAACTGCCTTTTTGAAATTTCAAGTTTCGCGTATGGATTTCTGTTTTAGAATCTCTCATACCTAGGAAAGATACTTTATTGCATTCCAGGACCAAACCGAAGAGAGGGTACTTTCGAAAATGACATGTGCCCGGTTCTTGCGCGTTCGGTGCCTTCGAATCTAATTTTACGACAATTTCCAATTTTCCTCGAAGACAACTTTGCCACGCGCGCTTTCCGGCCCTAGCAGTGTGCACCGCGAGAGAATGGGAGGCGGCGGCGGCGCGGCCGGGCCGAAGGTCCACATCTGCGCCGCTATGGCGCGGTTGCTGCGGGGGGAGGGGTGCGGTCTGACGCAGCTGTCTACCGCCCCGACGGCAGGGCAGAGCGGCGCCGCGCCGCGCCGTCCCGTCCCGGGTTCCGCCCCGCAGCATCCTCGCGTGTTCGCGTGCGCCGGCCTTTTAGAGCGCCGAGAGACGCAGTCGCCTCGTCGGAAGGCTCTCGACGATCCTCCGCTGCGGACAGCGAGCTACGCACCTTCTTCGAAAGGAGGAGGCTCGACACGCCTCGACACGCGCTTTCTTGTCTTCTGGTTATCTATTATTGTTACGATTCTTGTTCGCACATGGCGGCTAGCCCCAACTTATTTTTTCTTCGATTGCATTTTTTTTGGTTTGTTTATTATTATCACGATTTTTCCCCACGTTGAATGCGTACTGAGAAAAATAGCAATGCTATGTTAATGCGCCTAACATTTTACATCAAAACATGTGGCAAAAGATTTTGTTGACTGTATAAAGTTTTCTGCATCAGAAGCTGCTTATTGACACTTGACTTAGCTTAGCAGTTTCACTCGGATTTTCTCCCAATCGACGGTGAATTAAAGCACAAGAATATTCTGAAACACTTCTTCAGTGAGAATGTTGTCATATGATATTAAAAAAATGTGTAAAATGGGTTTCAATTAATTCAGATTAAAAATACCAGAACACATATCCAGCATTCGAAACAGAAATTCACACAAAAGAATGGACTGCTGCAACATTTAATGAGTGGTCATCCAAATTTAATATATATCACGTTCTAAGAGTTCAAAAGAACAGAAACAAACTCGGGAGGCAGAAGTAATACTGATACTTTGCCTGTAGCTAATTTCCATTCTTTGCAAACGGCGCGTGCTCGGTCACGGCTGCGAACGGTGGCAAGGAGCGGGAGCTGCGGTGTCCGCGCGGCCTGCGAGTCGTGCGGCGCGGCGCCGGCGGGCGGCGGCGCGGCGCGGGCGGGCGGCCCTTCCATCCATTCCTGATCAATTAGGGGCCGCGGAGGACGAGGAGGGCAGGTGGCGCGCGGGGCAAACTGCCCGCCGCGCCGAAGCCGCCTCCCCAGCAGCGCGCACACGCACGCGACGCTGCCCTCAAAGGCGGCTCTCTCGTACCCGAGCACACTCCACACACCAACGCGCACATTGGAATTGGCCCCAAAAGTGGGGAACATAAATCACGGAAATGTTACGAATTTGCCGGGAGGGGGGGGGGGAATTGTTTTCATCCGGGTATCGAGAGAGAAATATTATTCTCTCAATTATGATGAATAAAAAAGGAATACGTGACTTTATTCTCTCTCATTTTTATGTATCGAAAAGAGGAAAATAAATGACAGGTATAGAGGAAGCAAAACGAAGATAGTACGTATAGGGTTTCAAGCATGAAGTACAAGTGTCCCTCCTCCATGGTTCGAGCAGCTCAATGGACGATGATTCGTTGATATGAATTATTTTAATTCGAGAGAGCAGCCAATGGAATCGACAGGGACAGTTAGTCATAATTTGGAAAATATTTTTCGTTTCGAAGTTGGGGAATTTTGTTTCTTTGGAGAGGTTATTTGGGGAAATTCCGTAGTAGTTATGGAGAAAGAGCTCGCCACAGCCCTGGCAAGCCTGCCACAGCCTTTCCAAATATCAGGGCAAAGAGAGGCAAAGGGAGATATAGCACGGGTCAGGGGCATGGCCACGAAGAAACAGAAGACGTTTTAAAATAAAATATTTGATGGGCTCATAATTTCCACCAGGCATTTGACACATTTGAAAAACTATTGTCCGTAACCTATATGAGACCAATGAAACAATTTAATTGCTCATTCTTGATTCTTAATTTCATTATTTAGAGAATAGATCATACACCCGCAAGCGTGGCTAGCGAGCCTGGCCCGCGCCGCTCGTTATCACGATGTAAATGTTCCACTGTTAGGGACAATGGTGCAGGTAGCGGCGACGACTGTTGGCTCCATGTGCTGCATAAGGCGGAAGGCCTACCAAAGACATCAGAAATTCTCCGATTATCCTTTGCAATCAGCTGCGGTGCAATCGCGATAAAAAAAAGTGTAGTGATTTTCTGAAGTACGCTGCAAAGCGCACTTCATTCTTACTGGGCTACCGGTCCGAAAAAATTGTACTCATTATCACGTATTCATCTACGAGTTTGTACAAGCGTCCCTTAATTTCATGAAGCCCCTAAGAGACCCTGGATTAATTACTCGCATTAATAAACGACATTTATCTCATTTTAGACTTTCCAATGATTAATAAAAATAAAAGAGGTAAACGATCAAAATTCTTTACCCATTCAATCCCACGAGAGGGAAATTATGACGCAATACTCAGCTCTTTCTTTTCTTCGACTTCCTTTCAAGTCATTCTCATTACATATCTGAAATTCTCTCAATAAGAATCAGCCACTGCCAAGTTTCTGTGAGTCGACACCACGTTATGAGAACACATACTGTGAATTAACTCCATAATCTTGTCCTTATATAATCCCCATCAGTCATTAAGGCAATAATTTACCAGAGCTCATATCCAAATGAAGCATGTATCCCGCAGAACTTTACTCATTATCTTTGTGTTAAGATGTACTGTCTATATCTCGTGACCTCGTCACAATATGACAAGCAGCTGCTGTGGCAAGGATGGCCGTGGACACGACATAACTCGGCAACACTAGTCTGGAATACATTTGTGTGTATTTGACTGACTGACGGTCACTCTTAACAGCGTATTTTAGTTGTAATAATATCAATGCAAGCGAAAACTTCAAGCATCAAGGTTGCACAAGTAAATCCTCCTTTGAACAAACAGGCGAATTGGCAGACACCACCTTTCCCCAGCATTTGCGATTGTTTATCTCATTTGGTTTTGCAATCTATTGTTGTTTTTTTAACAGTATCAACGCCGAACGACGGACGTTACAGTCGTATAGCGATATTAGTAAAATAAAACTTACGACCACTACTACTATTTCGAACAACAATCACAAGCGTATCATATAACGACTTCCTCTCCAAAGAATTTCAAGTCACATTAAAACACAGGAACCAAAAACAGAGAAAGTGCGGACGGTCTTTCTGCATAAGAAAACAAGAGAAAAATTACGCGAACAAGATCCAACGCGCTTCTCTGAAAAAGCAATTACAATCGATGAATTACATGCGAGGGACGAATTGGTTTATTTCTTTGTGGGCAGCGACATACATGTCCAGCAGAGCCTCTCCACTGCACACACCTGGGCTGCGCCTCGGTGCTGTTGGTCCCCCAGCCACGGACGCACGCTCGTCATGTGTCTCTTCGGCTGAGGCTGACCGCCGCAGGGAATTTTTAAAAAGTTTAAGTTGTATGGCCTTTATATAACCAATCTAGCCTTAACGTGGCTCATGAGCAGCGTACTAGCTTCCCGTGGAGCGATCCCAGGTTCGATGCCCGGTACCTGTCTGACAATAAATGCTCGGGCCGGCAGGGTTTTCTAGTTACGGCAAAGGAATACTCGCCACGTTTCTTTTTACCCTCCAAGCGTGGCAATTGAACTACGCCCAGGCACAGGAGACCCCGTCAAAGTGCTAGCCGGCAAATTCGGACAATCGATCCGAAATGCTAAATACATAGAATAAACTGCTGTTGTTTTTTTTTCAGTGGCTTGATCCATATAAGAAGTGGAGATCATAAACATGTTTTCTTCTTTAAATCTCTTATCTTCTATACGTCTTATAAACTTCATAGTCTCAAATTACGATAACATGGCGTTCCAACATGGTAGATACATTATCAGTTGTTAGAATTCTGCTAAGCAATACAGCTGTAAAAAATTGTAATCGTGAAGTTAATTATGACGAATATCCACATCAGAATTGCAAGCTACTGAGCCTTCAACGCGGATTTCTAGAGCGTAACAGGAAAGCGGTATCACCAGAATGGAGGAACGTTGTAAATCAAGTTTTATAAATCACAATACATTAATCTGAAAGAAAATGAAAGTGAACATTTTCACTAGCCTCCAAGGAACAAAGGTGTTACTACGAAATATTGTTCTTACCAAAAAATAGCTATTTATACGTACTTTTAAAACAAATATTACGTCATATCCATACATTACGAATCACTTACATATCTTTAGGTAAATGTTCGTTATCTAATATTAACTTTACATAAAATTTATATTTCAACAAGGTCCTTATAAAGGCGGCTCCACACATGCGGCATTCTGCGAATCCCGAGCAACCGCTCGCCGAATCCCAAGTAGTGTGGACGGGTTGCTTGCGATTCGCCGAGCGCCGAACATTCGGTATTCGTCTACCCACAGCTTGTTGATCATTAGGACACAACAAAGGGAACTAACATTTGTCGAGCACATCAGCTGTTCGGGATTGGGCGAGCAGACGCTCGCTGCTCGGCGAATGCCGAATGTTTGGAGCCGCCTTAAGAATTAACACGATCGCTTGCTTCCTCCAAACCCAGCGCGGCGTCGATTCCTTCCGCCAAGCCGTGAGTGATTGGAGGCCGTTGCTTTCCGGTTTCACTGTTTGCGCGGTTCAACGCGCCGCCACCGTTTTAAGAACGTTTTTTAGTCTCCGGCGCTTAAGAAAACAAAAACAAAAACAATGAAATAAAACAGAAAAGAAACGAGGGCGCGCCTGCGGTTGCGACTTTCCAGTCCTTGACCCGGCGCGGCCGGCGCTCCCCTTCCCACGCCCAGTGCTTCGATTGGGCCCGCGACGCGGCGCGGCGCGAGCCGGTATGGCCCGGCCCAGCCCGCCCGCGACTTCCCTTGCCCTCCGCGACGGCTGGACACGAGTGGGCAGGGGAAGAGGTTCACAGGGCCGCGAAAGCAGATCGGCAGGAGGCGTTGCCATCGAAAGCGACAACAGCAACTTTACGTGGAGTTTGATTACGTCGTATAGAGAGTAGACGTCTCGAAGAAAACGTGTATGCGTATGTATGTAATTGGGATCCGCCTCACAATGACTTAAAGAGTGGCCGCAATAATAGCGTGTTATCGCCGACCCTCCACATTATATCACCTCTTAGACACTTCTCGAAATGTAGTTCGTGAAAAATACTAACAACGACTCGATCATCCGACTGTTTTGGCAATTATACTAAAACGCATCAGCAGTTCGAGCCGCCATCTTGACTTGACCTGCGTACAGTATTTGACCCGATGCCCTATACAGATCGTACAGTATATGACCTGACACAACAGTATTTTATTTATTGGGAATTTTGTTGGGGGGGGCGACTGTCGGGCGTGTCTGATGGTCTCGAGGGATGGGGGGGAAGGTGAGGAGGTGAGGGGGGGGTTGCGCGCGTCACGCCGCTCCGGGGGCTGACGACGCCCCGCGTGGAGGTCAGCGCGGCCGGCCTTTATCGCCGCTTTGTAAACGATCGACGAAATCTCGGGTCGACCACCATCTCGGGTCTTCCCTCGCAGAGCAAACACGGCGCGGAGACGTCGCCAGAGGCAAGCGACGAGAGCGGAACGTCAGCGTTGCATCGGGGCAGCGGGTTTTGGAACACATAGTCCGAGTAACATTCTATTATGCAATAAATATACGAAATAGGTGCTACTGAATTGTAGTTCTTAAGCTTTCTTTAGCTCCAAAACGTCGTAGATTTTGAATAACAGATTTTACTTCCCTTTAATATATAAAATTATTAATTTCCCGTATTAGTAGTCCTTGTAAGATACTGATTACCCTGTGGCACCTAAACCACACATTGAATGTTTTCCAATTGCTTCGGAAACATCGATCCGCTTCCTCTTGCACGCCCACGGGATTTAAGCTGGTTTCATTTTAATTTCCGGAGGTCCTTTCATTACGAAGCCTCCCTTGCACGACAGTAGTTCGACCTTCTTCGTGCCAGAGCGCGTCGAGGGGTCGTTGGTCGCCCAGGCGGGTCGCCGCCGCCGCCGCAGCCGGTTCGCGACGTGCAGTGCAGCCGCCTGCAGCGGCCCTCGGCAAACAGGCGCTCTGTTTGCTCCTAGACGCCGCGCCGCGCCCCTCCCCGCGAGATGCCAAGTCTGTTTATTTTGTTGGACATGTATTTTTTTTGCTCGCGACAGAGGGGTGAAACAACCAAAAACACTCCCATGAGATTTATCAATGGCCCCCGGAACCCATTCAACTGTTGAGAACCGCGCTCCGTCCTACAATGCCTCCGAAAAAGGAGCAACTACACTACCCTTCCTCGCCCGCCTTCGGCGCATCCTGCGAGTGCTTTCTCGTGGCGCCCTCGCGGCCGGCACCGTCCCGCCGCGGCAGGGGACGCCCGCGGCTCCAGCTTCCTGCGCCCGACGTCCTCGGACACCTCGGGCCGCCGTGGCGCTTCGCCTGGCCGGGGAGGAAGGAGGAGGAGGAGGCAGGAGGAGGAAGGCGGAAGGCCTTGATAAGCCATCGCGGCCACGGCGGCGCGAGCGAGGCGAGCGCCCCGGGGGTCGGATAAGGCGAGGCCCCGGACTCCGGCGACGGCCCTGCCGCGGGCCCCGGCCCGCCCCGAGCAGCAAGGAGGCGGGCCGGGGCCAAACACAGAAAGAGAGAGAGAGAGAGAGGAGGAGGAGACAGAGGCGGCAGCGCGGAGAGAGGGGGGACGCGGCCGGCGGAGGCGGCGGACGTCGTCGCTGAGTCAGGAACTCAGACGGAGCGGCGGCTGCGGCAGGCAGGCGAACAAGCAGCGGTGGGTGGCGGCGGCGGCCGAGCTGCGCTCTCCGTTCGGTGCTGCGCTGCGGCACTCGCTGTGCTGGGCTCACGTCGACCGCCCGGCCGGCCGCCCAGGTACGCAGGCGGGGGAGGGGGAGGCAGGAGGGGAGGGGGGAGAGGGGAGAGGCGGACGGCGCCGCCTGCTCCGAGCCTCTCCGCGGCGCAGGTAGGTTCTCGCGAGCGTCGGCGCCGGCCGCGCAGCCAACGAGGCAGCGCAGCCAGCAGCAGGCAGCCAGCGGTCCTCGTCCTCGTCTCGTCTCGTGGGCGTCGGC